AAGCTAAATTTGTGTGTGATGGGGTAGAGCCATAACCTCCCCTTCAACCCTACCCTGAGTATGACAGGGTGTGGCGCCCCAACCCCCTGATCCGCCCTGCTCTGTGTGTGACAGGGGGCGGTGCCCCAACTCCCCTATCGGTCCTAATTTGTGAGTGACAGGAGGGAGGTCCTCAACCCCCTGATGGGCCCTGCTCTGTGCGTGACAGGGGGGCGTTCCCCAACCCCCTGATTGGCCCTGCTCTGTGCATGACAGGGGGCGGTGCCCCAACTCCCCAATCAGCCCTGCTCTGCGCCCAACCAGGGGCTGCACCTAGGGATTGGGCCTGCCCTCTGCCACCTGAGAGCAGGCCTAAGCCAGCAGGTCGTTATCTCCCAAGGGGTCCCAGACTGTGAGAGGGCACAGGCCGGGCTGCGGGACATCCCCACCCCGCCAAGTCCACAAATTTTTGTGCACCGGGCCTCTAGTTTTATTAATAAAACATTTGCAAAGTAGTATATTGGATTATTGCCAACTGGGCGCTTTCACACATGCTTTCATTGGAATCTCCCTGCATTCCAGGGTAATTGGAAATGCCCTGTTGTAAACAAGAAGGCAAATGTTATTATCCCCGATTTACAGATGAAGAAAGGGAAGTTCAGCTAATTAGGTACCTTCGTGTAACAATATTAAAATGGCAAGGAAATTAGGCTCAATCCAGGATTTTGTTACCAAGCCTGGTATTCTTTTCACTTCACTCAGTGAGAGAGAGGCACGAGGTTTAGTTTCAGCACCACAGGTGCTCAAAAAAGGTTCCTATCATTTTAATTCGCAATATGATTTTTGCCTTTAATGATTGTCCCTTTTTTATGCCTATCTTCCCACGTAGTGGGCCTTTTGCAGAACCCACTTCTGTGAGGAGTGTTCATTCGGCACGATGCTTCTGCTCTCTCTGAGACTCTGGGTATAACCGCACATGTTGTTGGTTGGGGTTATTCTTTGGCTGGTGGGGGCCTGTGCTAGCTAGGCCCTGAAAGTGATTTCAAATTATTCCGCCCTCCTCGTATGTGTATGTCACTCACCCTTCCAAGAGGTGAAGCCTGTGACTTCTCCCTTGGACAGCTGAGCCTGTGTCTGAGTTGATCAATAGAATGTGCAGGAAGTACTTCTGGGGTCTTGAGCCCAGGCATCTGGGGACTTTTGAGCCAAGGCTTTAAGAACCTGGCAGTTTCACCTTTCTGGGGTGACGACCTCCCTACAACAACATGCCTCTTACTAAGATCTCCTTCATCCCCCTCCAGAAGAAAAGGGGGAACACAAGAAGAAGCACCCGGTGCAGAGCCCCAATTCCTGCTTCATGGATGTGAAGTGCCCCGGATGCTATAAAATCACCGCCCTCCTTAGCCATGCACAAATGCTGGTTTGGTGTTGGCCGTTCCCCTGTGCCCTGGCAGCTGACAGGAGGACAAGCAAGGCTTACAGAAGGAGGCTCTTTCAGCAGCATGAGACGCGTGGGGAACTGTCCCAATAAACACACTTTGCAAAACAACGAAAAAGGAAGCCTAGCAGTTTCAGCTTTTTTCCTTTTGGAACCCAGCCACCATGCTGTGAGGAAGTCCGAGCAACCAGGTGGGGAAGAACCAAGGCTCTTGGCTGAGCTCCCGCCAGACGCCAGCACCATCTTGTGGGCTCTGTAACAGAGCCATCTTAGAAGTGGATCTTCAGCCCTGAGCAGCCCCGCTCACCGCAACCAGAGCAGAAACAGGCTGTCCCCTCTGAGCACGGCCTAAACTGCAAAATCATTTGCCAACAAATGATTGTTGTTTTTAAGCCACTACGTTTGGGGATGGTTTATTATGCAGTAATAGGTCATTGAAACAGACCTCTCAGAAGCCCTGAACGCATTTTCTGCGAGCAGTTTCCCCTCCTCTCACACCAGACACAACTGCTGACAACGTGGTTGGGAGGCTTTCTGTAGGTACTGCTCATTACCTTGAGCACATCATAATCTTGTCAACTTGGAGAACTTCAGATTGAAAAAGTCCTTTAAAGTGCTTCCTGCACTAACAACAGTCCTATCGGCATTGCCAGTGGGGTCATGCAAAACACTGGGCGGCACTCAAGGTGACTGTAGGCGGTATAGCTTTGTTTATGTTCTGGAACTCTCTGTAAGGGAGGGGAGGTAACAGGAGGAGGCATAATAAGAGACACAGGCATAAGAGGAGACACAAAAAGTAATCATGAAGTTTGAAGGGTGTGACTTCCACCTAAAATCGAGATATTCCCATTTCTCCCTCTTTAGAAACACACACACACACACAATTATTTGTTGCAAAAGAAGATGTCATTGTTTATCTGCTATTGTCTCAATAGATACAGTATTATAACAAGCTACTATTTATTGAATCTATTCAATGCTTTACACTTAAGAGTTAAACTTAGCACAACCCTGTGAGGTAGGAACTATTTATTATCTCCATTTTGCAGATGGGAAAACTGAGACTTAGAGAAGTTGGGTAAGCTGGGTAAGATCACTCAGTTAGCAAGTGGCAGAGCCAGGATTCACTAAGCTTTGTGTAGCTGGAAAGTCTAGGGTTTTTTTCTATTAGCCCTCTCTCCTCTCTCTCTCACACACGCACACACACAGAAGAATCTTGTATCTCATTGGCTTTGAGGACTGCCAGTTTCATATTTCTGGACCTATCTTCATAAGCACAATGAAGTGAATGAAATTCAAGGTTTATTTTTTTTTTCCTTTCTGTTTTCCCCCTATGCCCAGTGAGCCAGATGTACAAATAAGTGGGCTTGTTTTGCATTTTTGACATTTGAAAAGAAATTCCATGTTGCCGGTACTCATGAATGTGCCTCAGGGGCACTTGGGTGTTTCTGCTTGGGTGGAAGGTCTCTCAGGCCGCATTCTTTTCCCATGGACTGCAGAGACTCCCCGCTGGATCTGCCTGGAGCAAGCCGTGTCTGTGGGAGTCAGAGACTCTGGCCTTGTTTAGCTCCAGGCTGGACGAGTGCCATGAAATCACATGATGTTTGGACAGAAAGGGCAAACCAAAGAATGTTCCTTTCATCCTTCCCTGACCAGTGAAGTCTAAGCAGTGAGCAAGTGGGCCCCTCCCAGGAGCTGTTCTGATGCACTGGATGGACCAGGACAGTGGAAGAAAAGATGGGTCTCTAAGCCAGGCCCACTGGGGATACTAACTCTTAGCAGATTCCAAAACCAGTTAGCGAGAGTCAGGACATACAGGGAAGAATGGTGGGACCCTGGAAGGAAACATCTGTGTCATCTTGTTAAACCCCCTCCATTAATGGGACTGGAGGTGATGGTGGAGATTAAAGTAGGAAGCCAGGAGGGGAAGGGACAGAACCAATATTTCACAGATGGTTTGGATAACCAGGACTAGGTTCTAGGTGCCCTAAGCCCAGGACCAGGTAAGAAGTCCAAAGAGCAGAGCGAAACCCTTGTCTAGGGTATTAGTTGGTGGTATATAGCTGCTATTCCTGAGTAACTTTGTTATTTAGGTTATTTCTTCTAAGGGCCTATTTTTCAGACTTTAGTCTGGATGCCTTGGTGTAGAAGAAAACTTAGCCTATTGCTGACACACAGAGAGAGAGGACACCTCTCAATGTCCACCCTCTTAAAATATTTTTATTGATTTTAGAGAGGAAGGGGGAGGGAGAGAGAGATAGAAACATCAAGTTGCATGTGCCCTTGACTGGAATCGAACCCACGACCCCTCAGTCCACAGGCCAAAGCTCTAGCCACTGAGCCAAATCAGCTAAGGCTAGAGGCTCTCCACTTTCATCTGCCTCCACTGGTGATTTTAATTTTGATGATGAAAATTAAAGTTATTGTTTGATGTTACAATACAAAAATGGCAATTTCATGATTCACCCTAACGTATCACCTTTATTACTGTTTTATACGTGTAACCTGACCCCCCTGACACTATGTCTCTTCCATTAATTAAGCATAGATATTAATCATTTATCTCTTATGAATATCATTGGAAGAGTTAAATAAGGTAATGTATGTAACATCTGGTCCATGAAAAGCAGTCCATAAAAATAAGCTATTATTATTATTGTAACCAGGCAGTATTAAAGGAACCTTGGTTTTGATCTTCCTCTCAGACTCTCCCAATTACAAGCAAAACCAGGACAGAAACACAATGGTGGGAGTGGAGGCAAATGGGAAACGCCTCCCGCCCCACAGGTGTGCTATGAAGTTTAACGGCATATGTGTAAAAGTGCCCGGCCAGCGTGGCTCTGTGGTTGAGCGGACCTATGAACCAGGAGGTCACCATTGGACTTGCAGTCAGGGACCATGACTAGGCACATGCAGGAGGCAGCCGAACAATGATTCTCTCTCTCATCATGGATGCTTCTTTCTTTCTCTCCCTCTCCCTTACTCTCTGAAATCAATAAGAAATAAAATAAAGTGCCCGGACCTAGAATAGGTTCTCAAAAAATCATGACTGATTCATAACCTATTGTATGAGGAAAACAGAAATATCTGCCAGACTTAAGAATCTAACATAATGTGGGATCATTCTCAGGCCGTAGCGAGGTATGAAAAAATAGAGTTAGAGCCAGGACTTGAGAATCGGCACCATTGAGCAGTTGTGTGATTCTGGGCAGACTAGAGACACTCTTGGAGCTTCCATTTTTTCGTTTTGGGGACAAAAATCACACACCCTTGGGGTTTTTCTGTTAATTAATGATGCGTACCAGTACTTGGGTTCTCCAGGGACACCTCCTGAAGGAAGGACGAGTGGCTACAGCCTCCCCTGCAAGGCGGCCAGGCTCCAAGTGCTTCCCAGCCTAGCGCATCACAGTAGCGCCCACGCCCAGGCCCGCCGCACCCCACAGGCGCCGCCCCAGCAGCTGTCCCCCCTCCT